AGGAATACCAGGCCCGGGAGCAGCTGCGAGCACGCTCCCTGCAGGGTTGGGTCTGCTACGTCACCTTTATCTGCAACGTCTTTGACTACTTGAGGGTGAGGCCTGGGCAGCTGCCCTGTGATGTAGAGATGGCCCGTGTCCTAAGGCCCAGGTCGGGTTGTTCCCCATGGCCGCTCAGCCCAGCGCCCTGGCCCCTCCTCTCGCCCCACAGGTGAACAACATGCCCATGATGGCCCTGGTGAACCCCGTCTACGACTGCCTCTTCCGGCTAGCCCAGCCGGACAGCCTGAGCAAGGAGGAGGAGGTGGGTGGTCCTGGCTCAGAAAGCCAGGGAGAGGCAATCTGGCCCAGCTGAATGCCAGCCCTTCGTCCAGAGGCCTTCTAGGGCATCACTTCCAGGGCAGGAGCCTGATCGGGCATTTAAGGCCTGTCAGTTATAGGACGAGCCACCAGGTCTGGAATATATCCAGAGCAGAGAACAGCCATAACCTACTGGTTCTACAGCCTCCTTCCAAGTAGGAAAGCAAATCTGTGACAGGAACGAGAGCCAGTTGTGGTGCAGATGGCCCAGAAACCAGATGGGAAGGGCAGGGTGGAGAGGCCCAAAGTTGGGTTAAGCAGCAGTGTGGAGACAGGCCCGAGTCCAGCCTGTCGGGTCAGGAGCCCCGGGCAAGTCCTGCACTGTTCCCTTGCCTGTGAGGGAACACCCACCAGGTGGTGTGAGGAAGAAGCCGTGTTAACAGGCAGAGCACAGCACCAAGCTCGCAGCAAGTGCTCAGTAAATCTCAGGGGCTTGGGGGGCACAAGGCTGCCTACCAGGCCTTCACCAGGGTCACCCACTGCCCCGTCTGTGCAGGTGGACTGCTTGGTGCTGCAGCTACACCGGGTCGGGGAGCAGCTGGAGAAGATGAACGGGCAGCGCATGGATGAGCTCTTTGTCCTGATCCGGGATGGCTTCCTGCTCCCGACCGGCCTCAGCTCGCTGGCCCAGCTGCTGCTGCTGGAGATCATCGAGTTCCGGGCGGCTGGCTGGAAGACCACCCCTGCCGCCCACAAGTACTACTACAGCGAGGTTTCCGACTAGGCTCCAGCTAGGGCTCCCTCCGCAGCAGTGCCGGCCCTTCTGCTCACCTCCCAGACCAGCGGAGTCTCTGCCTCTCCCAGACACCTTCCCTTCTGGACTTGGCATCTCCTGGTGAGATGTTCCCCACTCCCACTGCGGGCCTGCCTCTGCTGTCCCCTTGGGGAAAACACCACAGTCCTGGTCTCCAGACTCAAGGCCGTCCCTCCTTCTCCACCAAGTCCTGGTTATTCCTCTCACACCCACCACCTTCCAGGGCCATGCAGGAAGGGCTACCCCTGCCAACCACGGCAACCGGTGCAACTACTATCTTGGTGCCTCAGTTTCTCCATCTGTAAAACGGGTAACCAGAGCCACTGGAGGGATGCTTTGCGATGGGCAGAGGCAGAAGTTACACCAGCAACAGCTTTTTATACATTTCCACAAGGACCACTTTGGAAGCCACACGTCTGCCAGCTTTAATGAATGGTAGCACTGCGCCACACGCTATGCGAGATTTCCTAATAAACCTTTTCTGGGACTACAGCTGCTTCCTCACGTGTCTTCCAGAGGCCTAATCCAAGCCAAGGGAAAAGACTGGGCCCTGAGCTTCTTGGAGGAAATCAAGTCCTTGTGTTTCCCTTTGTGCAGAGATGGGACAGGAAGAGTTCTAGCCCCAAAGAAGGATTAACAGGCAATAAACACACTTCTCCATCTTTCCTGTGAGATTGCCCACGCTTTAGAGAGGAGCTGCATCTTTAGCCCCCAAGCATTCTCCAGAGTGGCGGTGGCTCATAGTTCCCTGCAGTGCCCTGGGGTTCTGCTGGAACCTCTGCCCTCTCTACCACCAGCGATAGTGGGCCAGGGCACGGTTGGCCTCGGCCATCTTGTGCATGTTGTGCTTCCTCTTGATCACGGGGCCCTGGTTGTGAAAAGCCTCCAACAGTTCATTTGACAGCTTCTCCGGCATCAGCGTCCGCCGGTGCTTGTTCTCTCGGCACTCGGTGATCATCCACTTCATGGCCAGGAAGCGGCGACGGCGGTCAGCCAAGGGCACAGGGACCTAAGGTGAGACAGGAGGCAGGCGTATTGGTCCAAGGGCCTGCCAAGGCTGGAACCTCTCTCTGGGCTCTGAGAAATGGCCACACGCTGCCTCTAGTCCAGCCCTAGGAAGGCTCCTGAGGAGTGAGGCCACCTCTTACTCTCTGCTTCTCCCCACTTGGGTGATGGATCTCAGCAAACCTACGTGGCACCAACTCAGTAAACACTCGCTGTCCTCTT